CCAAATCTTCATTCGCAAAGCCTAGCCATGATATCTATGTTAATCTGCTATTACTTTATTAAACATGGCACAAGAACATAAACTGTGACCAAACACAGGCTGCACAGAACTAATGCAATGCAAATAGCAATACAATAACACAGGAAACCATTGTTTTTTCATGATTATCAAATTGATATTAGCTACCCTAGAGAGCACACAAGAAATTGCAAAGAAGGATGGATATGAGAGAGAAACATTACTCACAGAGTAATGGAAGGCCAAAGCCCAACTAGACTTAAAATTGCCCAGTGACACAAGGAGTAATAAGAAGAAATTCTGTCAGCTTGCTGATAGAAAAATGTTCAGAGCAAAAAGTTCAGAGGAAATGTGGCACTGTTGATGAAAGGGAGAAGACAGCGCAGTGATGGATGACATGGATAAAACTAAAGTACTTGATGCCTTCTCCACCTCCCTACCTCAGTCCCTCTAGGAAAAGCCTGAGACCAGAGCACTGCACAAGCCAGTCATGCTTGGGAAGGAGAAGAGCAGTCAAGAGTGGAATTGTCACAGGTTAGGGGCTACTTGAAGGATCCTGATGTGCTAAAATCCCTGGGCCTGGGTGAGATTCATCTGAAAGTGTTGAAGCACACAGCTGGGGTGATTGTAAAGCTGCTACTTACCTGTGGCCAAAGAAATTGAAGCAATCTGGAAAAGTCTCTTACAAATGAAAATAATATGCCCAGCTATATAAATGTCAGGAATAACCATTTGGGAGTTACAGGCTGGTCAGATTCATCTCAGTCCCTGAAAACAGATTCTTAGATGGTATTTCTAAACAATTGTGCTGGGTCTAGATAGACAGGTTTTTTAAGAGTAGCTAATATGGAGCCATGTTTTGGATTTGTGATCAAATCAGTGCTGATAATACAGGGATGTTTTTGTTACTGCTGAGCAGTGCTTGCACAGCATCAAGGTATTTTCTGCTACTCACCCCTCCGAACCAATGAGGAGGCTGGGGGTGCACAAGAAGTTGTGAGGGGACACAATCAGGACATCTTACCCCAACTGATCCAAGGGATATCCCACATCATACAGCATAATGCTTAGCACATAAAGATGGGGGGGAGGATGCCAGGGGGGCCAGTGCTCGGGAAGTGACTGGGCATTGGTCGGTTGATGGTAAGAAATCATTTTCATTTTTATGACTTGCCTTTCTTGGGTTTTATTTTCTCTCTCTCTCTTATCTTTTTCCTTTTCCTTACTATTATTTTTGTTGTTTTATTGTTAAACTGTCTTTATCTCAATCCACAGGTTTTCTCACTTTTACTCTTCTTATTCTCTCTGCCATCCCGCTGTGGGGGGAGTGATGACTGTGTGGTTCTTAGTTGCTGGTTGGGGTTAAACCATGACAACACTGAAGAACAAGAAACAAAGGTTAACCAAGGACTGATCATGCTTATTAAATCAATTGTCTTCAGTGATAAAGTGACTAGTGATGTGAATGAAGTGACAATAGTGGATGTAATACACCTTAACTTTGCTGGGGCCCTCAGCAGCACTCTCACATGTAAATTGAAGAGGGATGAGTTGTATGAATGTACACCTAGGTAGGTTTAATATTGGCTGGACTTCTGTGCTCAGAGGGTAGTAATCAGTCATATGATGTCCAGTGGAAGCTGGTAATCAGCACTAGACCCAGTGGGGTGACAATGGCTCCACGACTATTTGGTATCTTTGTCAACAACCTCAATGATGAGACAAGAATTCTCAGTAAATCTGTGGAAGATATTAAATCAAAGTAAATGTTTCACACAGTAAATATTAAAACTTCAATTCAGAGACATCTTAAGATGTTGGAGGACTGGGCCAAAAGGAAGGCCATGCAGCTCACATTTGACAAGTTCAAAGTTCTGTTTCTGGAACAGAATAACTCAGTACAGCTGTGAGCTGACCAAATGGCCATGGAGGTGTAGCAAATACGTGGCTGAATCTAAGGCCCCAGTGTGTTCTCATTAGAGATGAGGCAAACTGCGTACTGATTTAAGTTAGGAGAATTTTTGAAGGAACTTATTATTCACTACTACCTTGTGAGGCTACACCTCAACCATTGTATCCAGCTTTTGGTCCCCTTATTCAAGGCTGATGTGGAGAAACTGGAGAGTCCCTGTCAGAAAGAACCTATCCTATGAAGACAGGATGAGACAGATGGGGTTGTTCAACCTGGAGAAGAGAAGATCTCATTGTGGCCTCCCAGTTCCTCAAGAGGGCTTATAAGAAAGGAGGGAGAGGGACTTTTTATATGGGCAGATAGTGACAGGACAGGCTTTAAATTGAAAGAGAGCAGGTTTAAATCAGATGTTAGGAAGAAATTCTTTACTCAGAGAGTAGTGACACACTGGAACAGGTTGCCTAGAGAACTTTTGGGTGCCCTATCCTTGTCAGTGTTCAAGGCCAGTTTGGAAGGGGCCCTGAGCAACCTGATCTAGTGGATGGTATCCCTTGCCAATGGCTGGAGGGTTGGAACTAGATGATATTTAGGGTCCCTTCCAAACCAAGTCTTTCTATGATTCATTCTGTACCTGGACTTGCTGACAGGCAATGGCCACAAACTGCAGCTTGAGAGGTTCAAGAAGGGCATTATGAATATATTTTCCAGCACTGGAATGCTGAAAAATGGTAGTTCAGCACAGCACTAAGATTACACAGAGGAGTTGTGGAGTTTCCACTCGTATGGGTTTTCAGGACACGATAAAGTGAATCTGATTTAGTGTTAGCAATATTCCTGCTTTGAGTAGGAGGTTGGATGAAATAATCCAAAGATCCTTCCAATGATTCCCTTGTTCTGATTCTAATTTTCTACTTCTTAATGCAGTGGAGTTTTATACTGTTTCCATGTTCTTAAGAATGAAGAAAATGTACTTTCACTTGTATCTATGTAGGCAGTGTTGTTGTCTGGGATGGTGGAAGTCTACATTTATTTTGAAGAAACAGGAAAAAATGGTGAAGAAGTTAGAACTGATTTGTTATTTATCTGAGTAAGGTGGTGTCTATTACTTCTAGTAAGAATCTGACACAAGAATTTGGGCAGAGAAAGCAGCTTTTTGTTTCTTTGCTTCCTTCAGTTCAGGGATCAGGATCACCTTGGTACAATTATCTGGTAACTAAGAGAGCTGTGGATGTTCTCATCAGTAAGATCTCAGTAAATAGAAGCTGTCAAATAGTAGACTGCAGAGAAGTGTTCTATATTACCAGCTACTACAAGAACACTTTGAGTTATAAATATCCATAAGCTTTAATGGAGAAGAGAACTGTGCCTGTCAGCAGAAAAAAAATACTATCAACCTGTGATGCCCTACACAAATAATGTCAAACCTGGGGCATGATGCAGATTAAGGTGCACTTTAAGCCATCTACTAAATGGAATATTAGCTGGGAACTGGATTTTGCCATCAATGAAACATAATTTAATATATCTGAAGGCCAGTATTGGTTCACCTATCTCATCTGCAGGTGCAGTGAAGGAAAAAAAAAGCCTTTTGACTGTAAGAAAGTACTCCCTTCTATTACTGAGCTCAGCAGTGAGTTTTGATCCTGATTGTCTTCCATGGCAGCATCTTGAAAGGAAAATATTTTTAACTTTGAACACAGGAATACTCTCTGCTTCTCTGAGTATAATATCACTGTATCCCAGTGAAGGATGAGCAGTGCTTTCATAACTTTCTACTTTAAAGTAAAAGAGGATGTATTTAAGTTGACATGAACAGCTGATAGGAAACGTTAACCTGGGATTATCTTCCCAGGTAGATAATCTGAGTTTACAATACTAATTGATATTCTAATCTAATTTCTACTGTTATTTTGCCATTTTACCCTTCGCAAGATATGATCTTGCTTGATCTTGCCACCACTTATGCTAGGTTTACCCTACCTTAGCACTTTAAAAATTAGGCTAACAAGCTCTACCCACCTTTTGTAACACCTTGAGAACTACAGAAACCAAAAATGCTAAGTATTTTAACTGTGCAGAAAAGATGTGTGTGTGAAGTGTGAAGAATCTTTGAAAATCTTTAAAAATTTCCATGACTATTCCTAATAGAGAGTTTATTTGATTGCAAGCACTTTGACTCTTGACCTGTTGTTCACCCTTGATTCAGACATCCAAAGACTCCCCAAATTTTGGGGCCTACAGACAAGAACAAAACAATAAACTGAAGGGGACACAACTTAGAGGAGACAAGGACAAAGCTAAGAAACTGCAGAGAAAATTGCCAATAATGAGAGTGGAGTTATGCAGAGTTTGGAAGTCAGGAATGAAGATAATGAGAGGTTAATGAATAGATCATAATAGAGGTTGTCCATAATGTAGATGATTACTAGACCAGCATTTCAGATTAAATTAATAAAGGAAAAGCAAGAAAGGCCAGTGATGAAGCATGCAGCTGAAGCAACTGAAGATCAAGTTTAGACCATTTTTTGCATTGATATCAAAGAAAAACAGCTAATTTTAAAAAGAGAAATTATAGCAATGAAAAGAATTAGAGACAATTTTAAAAAGAAAAATATATGGGGATAGAAAAAGATAGAATATCTGCATTGTATAAACTTACCAAAAAAATCAAAGAAAAATGAATAGAGAGCTTGGAAGAACTGCTGAAGTTAGAGTATAGCTCAAGCAACCAGTTAGAAGCCAGTTAGAAGGTCCTATTGTCACTGGGCTGTTATTTTCTAACCAAGTATGTACTACCTCTTGATTACATTGTGAGGGAATTTCATGCTTACACAATTAAACCTGGTTCAATATTTAGGGAATACTTCAAGAAATGCTTCAGATGGCATTCCAGACCTATGCCTACAGATTAGCTTCCCAGTTGTCCCACCAAACTCTTACCATGATTATATTTTATATAATATATTAAACATTCTATATTTAATGCATATAATATATAATATATTAAATTATGCACAAATAAATATATTATTTACAAATATATTATAATTTAAGTGGCTTTCTGGCTTACCTGATTATTCCATCTGGAGTGAAAGCTCTCTATTCCGTTAGAGAAATCTACATACAACTAAGGGAAAAGAAGAAACTATATATATATTATATACATATATACAAATTATATTTTAATTTTTATATATCCTTGAATATATAATGTATCACATAAATTCTTAAATACATCAAGTTATATTAGTCCTAAATTAATACTGTATAGATCAAGAAAAAGCATTTTGGAAATGTATCAAATGAAGCTTTTGAAACCTTTGTGCAACAGACAAGGTATGACAGTTGAAGTGGTGCCATTACGTAGACTATACAGCAACATGGTTGTAATAGAAAAGGATATGGACATGAAAAGATCAGGGGGTACTTAAAAAGTTGTATTGTATTGGCTTTATGTGGCAAGCTTTTGGTAGCAGGATGGGCTACAGGGATGGCTTCTGTGAGAAGCTGCCAGAAGCTTACACTATGTCTGGCAGAGCCAATGTCAGCCGGCTCCAAGACGGACCTGCCATTTTCCAAGGCTGAGCCCATGAGCAGCAGTGGTAGTGTCTCTGGGATAACAAAGGTAAGAAGCGGGAAAAAACCTGCTGCACAACAGCAGCCAGAGAGAGGGGTGAGAATAAGTGAGTGAAATAACCCTGCAGACACCAAGGACAGTGCAGAGATTCCCCTGCAGCCTGTGGTTCAGACCATGGTGAGGTAAGCTGTCTCCTGCAGTCCATGGAGGTCCAAGATGGAGCAAAATCCACCTTCAGCCCATGGAGAACCCCATGTAGGGTCAGGTGGGTGCCCAAAAGATGGCCCTGTGGAAAGAGGAGCCCACGCTGGAGCAATCTGCTCCTGAAAGGGCTGCATCCTATGAAAGGGACACACGCTGGAGCAGTTTGTGAAGAACTGCAACCCATAGGAAGGCTCTCAGGTTGGAGAAGGTCATGGAGGACTGTTTCCTGTAGCAGGGACCCCACAGTGCAGCAGGGGAAGAGTGCAAGGAGGACGGAGCAGCACAGACAAAATGTAATGAGCTGATCACAACCCTCATTCCCCATTCCTCTGGACTGCTTGGGAGAGGGAGATAGAGAAATCGGGAGTGAAGCTGAGCCAGGAAGAAGAGAGGTGTGAGAGGAGAGTGCTTTTAGATTTGGTCTTATTCCTCATTATCTTAATTCACTGTTAACTGGCAATAAAATAAACTAATATCTCCAAGTCAAGTCTGTTTTGCCTGTTACGGTGATCTCCCTGTCCTTACCCTGCCCCACTAGACTTTTATCATATTTTCTTCTCCCCAGTCCACAGTCAAGTTGAGAGGTTTAGTGGGCATGTGGTGGCTAGACAAGGTCAACCCACCAGATATACCAAGGGCTTTTCTTACCTATTGTGAGTGAAAAAAGGATGTGACTTTTGGGTCTGTTGAAAGGTATCCTTTGAATTTTTTTTTCTCCTTTGCATCCCATTGACTATAAAAGAAGACCAATTCAGCTCCAGGCTTTCAATTCTTTTCTCTTACCCCTACACATCTATCATCTTCCTAGGGCAAAATATCGCGTGCGCAAGGGTAGATAATGGCAGAGACCATTAATGGCACCTTCTCAGAGTTTTACATAAGGACACAGGAATCATCTTGCTAGAACAGGTTATCTAGGTCCGCCATTCAGAGTCTGAGGACTAGCAACAAGCTTCCCACAGGAAGATATGTGAAGTAAACCATGGGAAAAATGCTTCATTAAATGGCTCATCTCTATTCCTTAAGTTTGTGATTTGCTTAAGGCCTGAAGTGTGAATTTTGATCTCCCTTTCAAATACTCTATTGTTGTTAGTAAATATTCTGATATTATATTTTCCTGCTAGGCATATAAACATCTAACAATCCTCTAAAACTTACTCAACTATAACCTTCAACAGCATTCTGTGACATTGATGAAAATTAAAGCCCTGTTACAGAGTGAGAGAACGGTTTGTTTTATCAGCAAAAATTTGTCCCCTTTTGAATTCATTGAGTATTTCTGTTCTTGTGCTAGAAAACAAAAAGTACAGTCACAAAGGACTTCATGGATATTGGGAGGAATTCCTGACTTAAGAGATGAATGGTAGTTAAAAAAAAAAAGTTACAGGCTTTTCTACAGTTATCTGTTTTCCCATTTAACTTCCAGTAACAAAGAGAAAAGGAGCACAAATTATATTGTACCACAACAGAACGATCAGTGACAAATGTCTGTCAGTAAGATTACCATTGCAGATAGATTATGTAAACATATGCTTCAAAACCATTTTTCCTTATGCATTCTGTCTCGTCACAAAGATGCCAACTGGATAGATTGACTCTGCAAATAAGATGAGCATATTTAATAAAATGAGAATGAAGAAATGATAACATTTTATTATCTTGTTTTAGAACACTTTCTTCGTTCAAATTTTGTCTGGAAAAAAGATTAAGCACAGTTAATCAAGGTTTGTCACTAGGTTCCAGTGATGATTTTTTACACTGCAAAATAAAAAGCACAAAAGTAGCACAAAAGAAAGGGACATATGGAGTTGCTTGTGGTTTCTTACAGACTTCAAGCAAAGAACAGATTTTTACAGACTTTTAATACAGAGAAACTTAAACTCACAATACTTTGTCTCTTCAGTTGTTCCCAAAAGCAAATAAAAATATTACTGTGAAGCAAATAAAAATATTACTGTGCACGTGGTGTGGCAAGGAGGGGCTCCATACCACAAGAATCCATACCATGGCATTACTTGGAAGAAATTATATTTTCCTGTTTTCGAATATCTTTAGTCTTTCATACTACTGTAGATCTAATTTATAGAAGGGATCATAATTCCCTTCATGTTCAATTCCTGGAGCATGCCTGTTAGTTTGCACATTGCCTTTGCAAAGGTGTACCAGCACAATGAATAAATCCCATTGCAATGAGACAGTCATGAATTTGAGTCCAAAAGACTGTTAGTGATGGAAATCCAACTTTTCTTTTACCTCAGAGGTTTAGCATATTTATTAATTAGAAGGAAATCAATTACATGTTGTAGATGCGGAACCTCAAGAGGCTGTATCTATAGAAAGACCTTTAGACAAAGCTGATCTTTAGGGTGATCTTTAGTAGTAGTATAGGTGTCTTGGTTAAGTTAATTTTCTAGATTTCCTCAGTGGGCATGGAAAGATCAAAGATGGGACAAATCAATCTTTAGAGGTGTATAAGAAAGGAATTTGAAAAGTGGGATGTACTACCCTCTGGAAGTGTTGATTTGTGTCCATTGAGAAGGAATCTACTCTAGACTAGATTATTGGCCAATTCTTTTTTTAAATTAACAAAAGAAACCTAAGGTTTTTTTTGGTCTGAATCAAACCCTTGTTGGTTAACTGAAAAGACTTGTTTGAAGAATGCTAAATAGAATCCAGAAGTCATTGTGCACTGAGTGGTGGATGCCTTCTAGGAAAAGTGTATTTTATACTTTCTGGTGAAGATTCCTTAATTATGAGATATTTCAGATCTTTTCTTCCCTCTAAAATGCTGCCTCTCTCACTTTTGGGGAGATTCCATGTTTTCTTATTCTCCAAATTGCTATTTTTCCACAGTATTTCCGTAATATATTTTTCTTATGGCATATGGTAGAACTGAAGAATATAGGGCTTTCTGGCTTGTCTCATCTACTCTTTTTTTTCCAAAACATTTTCTTTTAATCTGATATTTTACTTTGTCTTAACCTACTTTTCTGATTTAGATTTGAGTTAATACAATGCTCTGAATCTTGACATCTCTAAATAGTTTAACTGAAGTGAGAACGCTCACATTTCTTCTGTAAAGTCCACACTTAGACACACAGGCTGCTATCTTTATCACCACTCACTGTGTAACTAATTGTCTTGGCTCTTATTGTAAATTTCCTGATTTTCTTCTGGTATAAATTCATTCACTGTAACAGAGGTGCAAGTTCACTGCTGTTAATGGAAGTCTCTCTGACTTATTCTGCTGTTCACAAAACCAGGATCAATAATATGTGAGTCCTAAACGTTCTATAGCATGAAGCATTATACTAAACATATGATTTCAATATGACAGGATTTATTTCATAATGCTTTAAATCTAGGTGATTATTTTTCCTGATTAACATTAATAAGTTGAAAATTCTTTTCTATTTAGACTTTTAAGAGTTGTCTTATTATTTCTCCTTCAGTGGCACTCTGTTTCAGTGAAATGTATTAAAAGTAAAAATTAAATAAATCTGCATTAGAACAACAGGATGTTATCTACAGGATAGCAAGGCTAGGTAGAAGAGGAGGAGCTTCTCTGTGTTCTGGTACAAGGTGAAGAATCCCCTGTGCTTAACTGACCTGGAAAGAGCTTATTCATTTCCTTTCAATTTTGTATAGATGGTTAATTTTTTTTTCTTAGAAAAGCCTTGTTCTTTTTAAGAAGACAAATAATTTCTATTGATTACAGTGTTATCTAATGGTGAGGAAGAAGCTTGCATGCCTGCTACTGACTTCAACTGAGAAGTCAATCATGACTGCTACAGCTGAATCTGGAGGAAAACTACAAAGCAGTTTACTGACTGAAAAATGGAAACAGGAGGAAAGGGATTATGTCTTACTCAGGGCCAGGAAGCAAGTATGAATCTTTATTTAGGAAATGTCCAGTTTCCTGATATTTCATTACCTGGCCCAATCTATTCAAATTCTAGCTTTCAAATGCAATATGCTGGGTGTCAGTACATGCACTGTTCAAAGATGGGGCCAGATATTGTAGAAAAAAAAAGTGCTACCATGAATAAGCAACACATTTTATTTGTACACAGACTTTCTTTATGATTTACCATCTCTAAGCTTGTCACTTACTAGTCTCTAAACACTAGTCAATGAGCTTAATGACTGGTTAAAAATGAAATGAAACTCTTAAGAAAAGGAAGGCCGAGCATGAGCACAGCTGGAGGAGCTTGAGTCACTGCCAGCTATCTACGTATTTATCAAGTTGCAGCTTTCTCAAGCATGATGCCAGGAATAAGCCAAAGGAAAAACATAAGAGGTCAAAGAACTACTTGAGAGATTAATGTAGTGCACTCATGTCAGTT